ATGAAACACTTCCCACTCAACCAGCCACACACTGGCTCCTTTGGAGACACAGGAGATTATTAGGTGCTTGTCTTAGTGATAAGAGGCAGCAGTCTGTAATCCACATAAGGGTGTAAATGCGGCAGACCCTGTCTGTGGACTATAGAACACAGTTTTTAAATTTAAATATTATTGGAGGCTAGATGGGCCTCTTCTTCCTATTTCTTTAAGAGACAGAGTCTATGTTGCCCAGGCTGGAGTGTGAAGGCTATTCACTGGCACAATCGTAGCTCGCTGCTGCAGCCTCCAACTCCTGGGTGCAAGTAATCCTCCTGCCCCAGCCTCCAAAGTATTTGCGACGACCAGCAAGCATTGCTGCACTTGGGTCCTCCCTCCTTTTCTAATTACACTGAATGAATCGGCCGTTTATGAGGATGGTTTACTTCTGCACTCTCCGCATTATCCCGTTTTAATTGTTATCATTTCTTTTCTTATTTCTAACTTTGGAGCATCTAAACCATCTCAGCAGGATATTATTTCCCCATGAAACAATTAGTAGTAATAGTAGTAATTACATACAGGGTCTTAGTATACTTTTATATGGAATGTGTTTTTTACTTAAATTATGTTTTACCAAATAGCTGGATCTCCCTAAAAGCAATCTGAGAGCTCAACAAAGGATAGCTTGAATGTAAAGGGACAAAGGGCAGAGCAGAGTTGCCCCCTCTAAGAAATATGAGTAATCCTGAAATTAATCACTCCAGGAGATTCAGAAAGCAAAACCTGAAGGACACACACACACTTAGGATGCTGAATGGGGTAGAAAAGCGTGGCCGTGGGGCAGGGTAGTGAGATGCGACCTGGGGTTGGGAAGCCCAGTGGACCAAGCAAGGGGCCCAACTGGGCTCAGCCCCTGTGAGGCTCCAGAAGAGTCCCCCACACCACACCCTCCTGAACAAGAGAGAGAAAGTGCCCGGCCCGAGGCACAGCACAGAACAAGGACTGGTCGATTTGGTGGGGAGGCTGTCAGCTGCCCCCATTGTGGACGTGAGAACAGCATTCCCCCGGCTACGAAGCAGACACGAATGTTCTGAAACACGGCAATGGGACCATGCAGGGAAGGCAGGAAGAGAAACACCAGGCAGGGCAGAGAAAGCTGGGGGAGGAGGAAGGAGCCAGAGCCGAGAATGCCCGCAGAGCCTTGGCACGATAGAGTCTCCACTGCGCCAAACAGCCCAAAGACTTGTGAACGAGCTTTTGCTGCAACAAAAAACTTTGGACGGTTGTAAGAATCCCCCGTGAGGTGCCAATATGTTGCAGCGCCTTCCCAGCCCCGATCCTGGTATGAGTCATCCCAGATGAAGTATGAACACACTCAAGCTGGCTAGCAGCTTGAAAAACTGGAGTCGATCACCTTGACCTTGAGAAACACGAGGAGGTGGTATTTAATGATATGCCAGATGAAATCCCTGCACAGAGACCTGAGCTGAGGGAGGACCTGAAGGAAAGTGGGCCAGCAGGGGTCAAGGGTCCGGAAGAGGGTGGCTGGGGACCAAGACCAACTGAGGTCATCGACGCAGTCTTAGGACTTCGCACACTGTCTGTGTGACATGAATAGCACGGTGACATGACAGGGTGATGGCAGCTTCTGATGTTAAACATGAGCTTCCAAAATCATGATCTAGGGGAAAAGAAGAGCCCGGTACAAGAGAATACACAGAACAGTGAACAGACCAGAGGTGATGAACGGTTCAAGTTCCTTCAGCCCACAACCTACTAAATCCAAGTGAAACGTTTGAAATGTGTCTTGAGCATCCACTCTTGGCTCCTTTTCCCGTGTCCCAGACAATGAATGCTTCCAGATTAGTTCTTTCCCTGGGATTTCCGCTCTACCTCAAGGTCCTATGAGACAGAGTGCAGAACTACACAATGAACAATTCTAGCACATGAAACAAACTCACAAGGCCCCAGTTACAGCTTCCAATGCTGAAAGAGAGACTGAGTCGGGGGGCCTTCAAGGTCACCCCATCCAATCTTCGTTAGAGAGGAAGAAACTGAGGCACCTAACTGATCAAGAGATGCACCCAAGGTGCCACAAACCATTACAGCAGTTCCAGGAATCTGTCTCTATCCAGAAAATGACAGATAAAATGGAATGAAAAAAGATGAAATTTATTCTCTTACACACTGAATTCAAAGGAAAGAAGAGGGTACATTCAAAGATGCAAAAACAATTATGCTCAGCATTATCTCCCAAGACAGGTTTAATCATTAATACCACTGTATACCATGGTTACTACGGCATTGCTAGGGCCACTGAAATTTTATGTTTCTAGTTTTTTTTTTTTTTTTTTTTTTGAGACAGAGCCTCAAGCTGTCCCCCTGGGTAGAGTGCTGTGGCATTACAGCTCACAGCAACCTCCAACTCCTGGGCTCAAGCGAGTCTCCTGCCTCCGCCTCCCAAGTAGCTGGGACCACAGGCGCCCGCCACAACGCCCGGCTATTTTTTGGTTGCAGCCGTCATTGTTGTTTGGCAGGTCCAGGCTGGGGATTCGAACCCGCCACCTTAGGTGTACGTGGCTGGCGCCTTAGCCGGTTGAGCTATAGGCGCCGAGCCATGTTTCTAGTTTAAAATATTTCATCAAATGGGCAACGTTTTACAAGTTGGACACTCTGTGCTGCCAGGCAACAATCGCCTGTCAACCTTGTCCTGGGAATGGAAATTGAAGCCACCCTGGTAGACAACAACTAAGAAACCAGTACCAAAAATTTTCAAAGCATATTCCCCTGAATTAAGGAATATGCTACTAAGATTCTGCTCATGGGGGCCCGTTCACTGCAGCATAGTTTAGGCCCAATCTTCCATGAAACTGTAACGACTCATGCAGGAAAGAGAAAACTATAAAATGGCTTTGGCTGGAATAACAAGCATCAGCAAACTATGCAAGCAACCTCCACGTCCCCCAGAAAGGACACTGGTGACATAACTCATAGCATAAGATGACGGAATATTACGCAGTCCTTAAAGGCAACGAAAGAGATCTGTACACACTGATAAGGAAAGACCTCCGATGATATTAAGTAAAAGAAAAAAAAATCAAAGTACAGAATGGTACATGTGTTTACTTGTATATATGTAACCTTTTACTGGAATGATACACGCACACACAAAAATGGTTAATAATGTTTCCCTTCCAAGAGCAGACGAAGAAAGAATGTGCACTGTTTATCGCTTGCCTTCCCATTCTGCACGAAGAGTCAAATCATATGTATGAATTACCATTTGTTCTCTGCTTTATACCTCTCTGAAGGTTACTACTGTCCCACCTAATAGAGGTTATTACTTTTTACCTTTAGTCAAAAAGATGCTCAGAAAATCAGAAAAAAAATAGAGCATTGCCTTTTTTAAAATTTAACCCAAAATAATGAATCCAGAGAGCTCAAGATGAGTTCATTTGACACATACAGAATTTGCAATATTTCATCAGAAGTATACTGAAAAAACACAAACAGATCTTCCTTCTCTTTGCTTTCCGGAATTTTCATGCCAGAACACTTGCAGTTTTCTGAAGTCAACTATGGTCTGTTTCTTCAAGATGGCAAGAACGTCTTTCAGTGTTCAGAAAATGAAGGTGGCCTTGGCAAGGATTACGCAGGCTCCGTGCACTGTCCCCATGCCCGTGGATCTGTCGCCTCCCCCGGCCACTGCTCAGGCCACTATCCCACTCCATTTCACCCTTCTCTACCCTCCCCCAGTCCACTTTAAGATCTCAGCTCAATCACTGCTTCCTCGGGGACACTTAACAATCTCCCAACTCCCTGGTATTAATCACTATCCCACAGTATCACTCACCATTTTTGCAAGTTTACACTCATGCCTAAGTTTCCTGGGTTAAATTTGTCTTCCACGACAGGCTAAAAGTGCTGAAGAGACAGTGACAATGGCCATTTGACCTTAACAGCAGCAGAGTGCAGCACCCATCATAGTCACACACTTCATGATCAAGTGAATGAATGGCAAGTGAAGGAATAAACGCAGTCTGTACTTCATGCAAAGCCCAGAGGTCATGTTACATAAGCACTCAGCTTCCATCCCTCCCTAGCTCACACCCCCTCACATCTTTCTGGAGACCCCACCTGACATCCTCCAACCTCCCACTGGCACCTTCCCTGCCTCTTCCTATTCCACCTTCCTTCAACCACACCAGCTTCCCTGATGACCCTTGAATTCTCCAGGCACCACAGGGCCTTTGCACGTGACATTTCTACTGCTAAGAACGTATCTTCCCTGACATTTGCATGGCTTACTGCTTTACTTCATTCAGGTCTCAGGCTCAATGTCACTGCTTTGGAAGGCTCCTGCTGAGCACCCATCAGAAAGAGCTCTGCTGTCAGTCCACAGCTCTTCTGCTTTGCTGAACTTGATTAACCTTATAGCAGCCTGACACCACGTTAAACATTAAACTTGGTTATCCCTTTGTGGTCTTTGTCTCCCAGAAGGTAAGCCCATGAGGGCAAGGATTGCATTCTGTTTGATGCTACACCCTAATCCCAAGAGCACTGCAAGCCTTCAATAAATGTTTATGCAGAGCCATATTAACGCCAACATCCACAAAGAGAGAGAAAAGCAAAAAAAAAAAAAAAGGAAAAAACACACACAAGAGATAAGATTAAAGCCTACTCCCTTCTAATCTTAAAAACCATGCACATAACAACCTCCTAGCTGCATTCCCTGGTGCTAACCACATTTTATTTTTCTTAACAAATGAGTTAAGTGAGTAAACATTTTCAAACCACTGACTAATAAGGCAGATGACACTGACAGTGAACTACAAACAAACTCATGGATAATAATGGGCTTGCTCATCCTTTCATTCATAAAATAAACAAAGTGAAGATGACTTTAAAAATAAAGACGTTATTCCAAAAGCAATAAACTGTAGATGCTGCACTAAAATCTCCGCGTGCTTAGCCTGGCATGTGCATTGGAGAATTAAAAACAGAAACGGTCAAGTGCTTACCCATTCTTCTAAAATGCGAGACACGGCTTCACTGGCCCTCGCCATATTCCTGCAGGCCAGGATTACGTGGGCACCGTGGAGGGCAAACGACTTGGCAGTTTCAAACCCTGTGGGGTAAAGGAAAGTCACCATTAGGAAGCATAAAGTCACACCTTGAGTCACGATGAGTGGCCTTCACTAAGCATCAACTGCATTGCCCTGGGGGTTCTCAACCAGGGGCAATTTTTTCCCCAGGGGCCAGGTACAAATGTCTGGAGACATTTTCAGCGGCCACAACTACAGGGACAAGTGATACTGGCATCTAGTGGTGTAAAGCCCAGGGACGCTAAAAGGCTTCACAGACCCCCAACAACAAAGAATCACCTGGCCCAGACGATCAACAGTATGAGCGTGAGAAAACAGGCACAGTCATTTCCAAGTTGAAGGCCAGGCCATACAAGAGGAGTTCATGGCATGGCCAGCTATTTATCCAGCAGTAAGGACCAGATCCTTCCCTGAAGGTTAAGGACAGCATGCTCTGCTCTGTGACAAGTGTTTCCACTACCTCTGCTACCACCAATGGCACCCCAGGTTTCTGAGACCCACCCTCCTACTGAGAACAATTAAAACACCTGGCCACATCTGTGTACACGGGCGTATACACACACACACACACACGTCTGTCTGAATCAGAAGGACACAATGACAGAAGTTCTACAGTCAAGATCTGAAAAAGTTAAACGGCCAGCATTTGGCAGCTTTTACCCCTCAAGTCATATTACGGTTCCAAAAGTAGTAGTTGAGAGCCTGGGAAGATAGGCTCAGCTACTGGCAGTCTGGTAACAAAAAATAAAAACACAAATCTGAGCTTAGGGCCCTGGTAAATACACCTGACTTTTGTTTGGGGACTTAAAGGGTTGTGCCCTTGTAAAAACCAGCCTTCAAAAGGGTAGAAACTCAACTTCAAGCCATTTCTCTTTCTAATCAAACTGAAGTGATCTGTCCCTATCTACCTACCAGAAGCAAAAAAAAATGTTCTCTAGAGGAAGAGTCTACAATGATTTCAAGCTCTCACACAAAATCTCTGGTATGAAGACAAAAATAGCTAGGCATACAAAAAGACAAGATTTCACCAAAAGCCAGGGGGAAAGAAACACATGTATAAGTGATCCACCTAAAAACATCAGCAGAAAAAGCGATTTAAAGAACTCTGACTAATATGTTAAAGGAACTAAAAGATAAGGTGGAGAATTTTGCCAGGGAACTATAAACAATAATAAAAAAAAAAAAAACCAAATACCCTGAAACTTAAACATGGTAAGAGTAATTAAGTATTCAACGTAAAGGTTTAACAAAAGACAAGACAACGCTGAAGATACGATTTGGGGAACTAGAAAATAAGTTTAAAAATATCTAAAATAAGACATAAAGAGGGTAAAAAAAAATAAAGCAAAGAACAAAAGAGACATGTGAAGCCCATTTTCTTATGCTCTTACACATACATGTAATCTTAGTCCCAGTAGATTAAGACATAAGCAACATTTGAATACATGATGGCTGGTAATGTTCCAAAATTAATTTAAGATACCAAGTCACAAATTCAAGAATTAAGCCACAAACAGAATAAAACAGATAGATACATAAATAGACGTTTCACACCAATGCATAGGACAATACAACTACTGAAAACTGAAGATAGTCTCAGAACAGTTAAGAGACAAGCAGTAACACTGATAGCTATACCGCTCCATGAAAACATGAAAGCCAGGGCTGAAAGAAATAAAACTTCTATCTTGGAATTCTATACCTGGTGAAAATATCCTTCAAAAATGAAAGAGAACAAAAAATAATAAAAAAAATAAAAATAAAAGAGAACAATTTTTGGACAAAACAAATCTGATTCATTAGTAGGCTTATCTTTAGGCAGAAAGAAAATGACCCTTGCTAAAATTCGAGAAATGCAAAAAGCAACAAAGAACTATGTAAAGAGTGAAGACATGGAAAGACTAAATAATGACAGTAATATTTTTTTGTATTAAAACATGCAGCAAGAATGATTATATTAATAATAATAACACATAAGAGGTGAGATTATCCTAAGGCCTTTGTTTCATCCAGAAAGTAATATAGTACTGATTTATATTAGACTTTAATAAGTCAAAGATCCAATTTGTAATCTCTACAAATTTAACAAGCTAATGGGAAACAAAAAAAAAAGTAGAACAATAAAAAGAAGGCAAGAAAGGAATAAACAAAAACCACACAAGTTAAATAGGAAGCCAGTAATAAGGTGGGGTACATTCAAACCCAAACAGATTTGTAATTACATTAAATATAAATGGACTAAAGATTGCAATTAAAAGATAAAGGTTGCCGGACTAGATAAAACACACACACAAAATGTTCCTTTTAAAAGAATATGCATTATTTTTTTGTATGTTTAAATATAAAGAAAAAAGTTTAAAGAAATGAGAAAGATATACCACGTAACATGAGCTGAAAAAAATCAGGAATAGCTATGCAAATCTCAGAAAGCAAGAAGTATTACAAGAGAAAAAGCCTCATATTTCATAATGGTAAATATCAATTCACAAGAATATACATTGACTCTAAATTGGTATGTACCTAGTAACAGTCTCTCCTATATAAGTCAAAAACTGACAAAATTAAGAGGATAAACAAAGAAATCTACAATCATAGTGGGAGATTTTAACATGTCCCTCTTGGTAACAGACAAAATAAAAATTAGATACAAAAAGAAAGTTCACAGAAGATTTGAACATAACTGACAAACTGGAAATAATTGAATATGCTAAACAGTGAATGTAGCAGCAAAATATACATTCAAGTTCCCTAGGAATATTATCAAAATTGACTATGGACAGAGATCAAAGCAAGTCTTGCCAAATTTGAAAACACTAAAATTGGAAAGCATGCTCTTTAACCACAATGAAATTAAATTAGAAATCAATAACAAGGTCCTAGAAAAACTTCAATGTTGAGACAAACCTGAAGTTATTTTTTGAGATTCTGTGAAATTCTGCATTCCAAAATATCCACTTATTTCCTAAGGATGAGTTCTAATACTTAGATGCTAAAATAATACACAAGGGATTTCAAATGTGAAATATTCACCTACACCTGTTTGCCTCCTCTTAGGTTTGTGAACCCCTATCGCCAAGCTGTGAGGCAAGAAAACAATAAAATCTGAAATTTACTCATTTTTACCTGTGACACCAATTTTACCCCTTATCACAACCAGTGAGCCAGAGGCACCTAGATTGGTTTGGAGAAGAGAGAGAAGTAAAACACCAGGTTTTGGAGCCCAGCTGTTCCAATACAGGCTGGGGGCAGGCAGGGGATGAAATCTTGCTGACGGATGTGCCCCATCAATCAGGCTAATGAAATGCTGACAGCCATATGGCAGCAACATGAAACAGCCACACATCACTTCCCTCGTAAGCCCGGGACTTCTTTATCCAGAAGAACTGGGAGAAATGGTGGGCTCTGGGTCCCTTTGAAGTTTCCAGGTCAATGCAACGATCAGAAATATTTTTCCTCACAGTCTCATCAGATGGTATTAAAGGAGAAATAAATGATGTAGGAGACTGGGGGAAAAGTGATACACACAATTCTTAGCCATTCTGTAGTAGCCACATTTTTATTTTATTTGTTTTGTGTGAGACAAAGTCAAGGCTAGAATGCAGTGTCATCAGCCTAGCTCACAGCAACCTCAAACTCTTGGGCTCCAGCGATCCTCCTGCATCAGCCTCCTGAGTAGCTGAAACTACAGGCATGTGCCACGAGACTCAGCTAATTTTTCTATTTCTAGTAAAGACAGGGTTTCCCTCTTCCTCAGGTTGGTCTTCAACCCCTGAACTCAAGTGATCCACCCACCTTAGCCTCCCGGAGTGCTAGGATTTCAGGCGTGAGCCTCTGGGCCCATTTTTTTTTTTTTTTTTTTTTTT